TTTTGCTAGCGGCCGACAGTAGTTAAACGCATGAATGGATTGGTGTTCTGCTGGTTTGAGTGGTTCTGGCAGGCCGAGAGGAAGGGCAAACCGTCCCGTTTGTTGACGCATGCTCGGTCTCGCCCTCTACAGGCGGGGCTCATTGGCGACGCGAGTCCGAGCGAATAATCCAAAGATTTCGAAACAGCACCCTGATATAGAAACACATCGGGATCCGCGAGCTGCGGCGAACTCCGTACAGATTTATTACAGAAGGATAAAGTGAAACAAAATGGCCAGGTAGCTGAAACAGCGGAGTCTATTGGTTCTCCACAGGAGCGTTATGTGGAGAGGGCTCGTTGCCATTGCTTGGAGGACAACGCCTGGATAAGGAAGAGAGGGCAACAGTTGACGTTATTTCGGGACGGCAGTTCATTGCGGATACTTCACAGACATGGTTAATGCCGTTTGTTGTCGTCTCGCGAAAAGCGCCTTTATGTGGCTGATGCTCCACGCGTTCATCGACTGCAGTGAAGGTGAGAGAAATCGCGAGCGACACCTTTGCGAGTCTCCTAATGTCCACAACACTTAGTGTTGACGCTTGGATTTGAGCCATTAATGTGTACTTGACATATACTGGCATTGTGGTTTTCCATCCTGGACCTGGGGACCCGCTGCTCCGCACGCTTTTGTATGTCTCCCTTGTCCTTATCTGACACACTCAGTTCATGGAGTCTCCTAATGAGCTGATGATCTGAATCAGGTGTGTTAAATAAGGGAGACACACAACATGTGCAGCGCAATGAGTCCCCAGGACCAGGATTGAAAACCACTGGCATGTAGACACCACTATGGCAAGCCGTGTTAACATGTATTTCTTCAAACTAAACGGTGTCATTGTTACTAGCACTTTATAAGTAGTAGCACCACAAGTTTCTCACCCTTCAAAATTGTCTCTTAAGTTTTCCTCCAATGTCTGTGCGTTTGAGTCGCCTTGATTCCACTATACAGCATAATGAATATGATTATCAAATAATGGCAGTTTCAGTGATTGCCTAAAGCAAACTCGGTCCTGGAGGGCCGGTGTCCTGTAGAGTTTTGCTCCA